TTGTAAAAATAGCACCTTTACTTACTTTGTCAAGAAGCCTGGCTGTTGTCCTGGGAGGTGGACATTCAACATTTCTCTCCACACAAAGGTTATCAAAGAACCTGCGAGTTTCTGAATTTGCAGACGAAAATTAGAACAGCCATCTCAACAAACATTTTTTGCTCTTACTAGGCCTTTCAAGAGTGACTTAAGTGACTTCAAGAGTTTCTTAGAGTGACTTGTAAGATCTCAATGGTAGACATAATGGAAAACATGAGCTTAAATGTCAATCTAAATAAATGGTGTTTGGTTTTAATTGTTTACAGTAAAATAGTAGTTATTTTATACTTCAGAAACTTGACAACAGTTAAGCACACACTACATAACTGCTGGACATTATTATTTGGGGGCTGGGGGGAGAGAGAGGAGTGAACCAGGGGGGAAAAACAATCACTATAAATTATATGAACTTGTTTCCTTATGTCTCTCAATTCCAGGAAAAAAACAGCACGTAATTAAATTTTTAAGAAAGCCCCAAATAATCATACACCTAAGCTACAATTACAGGCATGGAAACTCAACTGCACATGAGTTAAGAAATAAGAAACAAAAAGCTGGATCTCTTCAACAAATCAAGAAATTTGTACATCAAGCCTCTTGAGTATATCCTTTCACATATACTCAACAAAGAAAGAGCCAAAGTGTCAGATCCTGCCAAGGATGGCAAGGAATGAGGGCTTCTTTCTGGACTCACATAAACCAACAAAACCAAAGGAAAGGAATCCCATGTATTAGTACTACTTCAAGAAAAGCAGCTGACAGACTGCAGCCTGAAAACTTTCAACCACTTGGCCACTTTCTGTTAACGAAGAATTACAGGACATTCATACTCAGCATCTAACCTTCAGTTTCAAAACATTCAGTTGATGGAAACTTCACTCCCAGGACCTTTTCCAGATCATACACCATGCTAATTCGCCGGAAGGGAGGAGTAAAATCTATCTCGTAAGCCTGTCCATCTTGACCATCTGGATGGTAAGTGATCTTGTAACCCCCAGTAATATGTTTCACCATCCCTACAAAAGGAGTGTAAGGTTTAGAAAAAGAGTATGCTACATAATTTATTCTTCCAGAGAGTCTTACTCTTTTTAAAATCATATTGCATACTTCACCTGAAAGCAACTTCTCTGTAATTTCCATTAAGTCATGGTAGTCTGCGTAAGCCATATAAAATTCACAAGTTGTGAACTCAGGGTTGTGAGTCAAATCAATTCCTTCATTCCGGAACTGACGCCCAATTTCATATACTCTGTCCAGACCACCAACCACCAACATCTAAACAAAATGAAATTCCAATAAATACACTTTCTCAAAAGAACCTAAGAGAGCCCAAACACACACAACTGCAACACAACGTTACAAAACTCATTCATGAGACAAGTCCACCTTTCTTCAAAAATAATCTTCATTTTAGCTACGTTTGCTTTTTTAAATACAGTTTGAAAAACACAGGCTTAGCCATGAGAGGCTTGCATTTTACCTTATGGTAAAGTTCTGGAGCAATTCTCATATACAAATTCATATCCAGTTCATTGTGGTATGTGATAAATGGCTTTGCCACAGCTCCGCCTGGAATTACATTCATCATAGGAGTTTCAACCTGTAACAACAAAAAAAATTTCCGGTTTTCATGAAATCTGTTTCCAAACCAGAAATGCATAGATCAAACAAACAAAAAAAAACGCCTAGCCAGCTAGTTTTGATTAAAAATCTGTATTTCACTTACAGTTCAGCATTTCAGTGTATGAAAACAATTCTGAACTAAAGTGCACTGAACAAAACTGCACTTTTTTCATATAGTCAATAATAACAAATTCATCTGCTGCTCTGAAGAGTCACTCATATTTACTACAAATGTGAACCTGCTGGCTTCATGTTATCAAAGCCAGGAACAGTGCTGTGGCATTACCACAAAATCCTCTCTCTACAGTACAGAAAATTGAACTCAACAAGGCCAAGTGTAGTTTCCTGCAGCTGGGTCAATACAATCCAATTCTGCCTACAGGATGTAGAACTGGCTTTTATATTCAGAGGCAAAACAACATTTCAAAGATGTTGTTTTCACCCTAATTTACTGAAACTACGAAAGGACAGTAGTAGTTTAGAGTATTACCTTCATAAAAGGTTCCCAACCTCACCAAGTGATGAATAATCTTAACTTTACAAAGAGAGGAAAGGAATTTCTCCCATTCCATTAAGCTGATAAAATACACTACGCTGAGGCAATTATTGTCAGTTCTGTAAGCACTTTGTACATGAGAATATAGAACATCCTTAAAGCTAAAAAAACTGTAAACACATTCAGTATGCAGAGAGAAGCAAACACTGATGCCTTACCTCAAGAAAGCCCAATTCATCCAGAAAGCTACGAAGATAAGTGATGATCTTTGCACGGGTTATAAATTTCTGCCTCACATAATCATTAAGAATTAAATCCAAGTATCTCTGACGATATCTGGTTTCCTGAAAAGAACATGTATCTTTAGAACAAGCTAGATAAAATGTCATACCAAAGGAAAAAATAACAAAAAAAACCTAATATTCCTTTGTTGACTGATAGTATCAGCAGGTAACAAACATCATCCATTCAGACCTTTCTGTGTCATTCTTGCCCATGGCAGGGATGTTGAACTAAATGATCCCAAAGGTCCCTTACAACCCAAACCATTCTATGATCTGTCAAATTGCTTCCAAGACTGACAGGTATGATAAATACCTTATCTTTGAGGCCAAAATGAAGATGAGGCAACATGTGCAGGCATGGAGACAAGAGAGTGATTTCATAAGGAATAATACTCAGTTCCCCTTTCCTTGTTTTCCCAGGATTCCCCTCTACACCAATAATGTCTCCACGACGCAGCTTGCTGTTAACACGGAAATATTCTTCCTCGGATTTGTAGAGGCTGTAATTGCAAAACAAATTTAAGCACGTTTGTTTAAAATTCAATACTCCAAACTGTCCCCAAGTGTCTCACAGACAAAATCCATTAAAAAAAAAATAAATATATATATATAAGTTTTTTTAATAGGAAGTCAACCACAACATTGAAGCAAAACACTACTTGGTTGCCTAAGCTAAACCACAGATTAAATAGAATACTCAAATACAGATATCTAGACCCCAGAATGCAGTGCAGTTTAGAATGCTAAACTGAATGCTCGAAATACCTCTACTTACCTGGAATTTGCCATGACCTGCAGCTTGACTCCTTCACCACGAAGATCATAGAAAATCAGTTTCCCTCCAGCAGCACGCTTTGCATGGATTCGACCTAAATATTAAAAGTATGCTAGACATCAGGAAGAGTCCCTACCAGAAAGGATATAGTGGCAAAAGCCACAGTACTATCACTCAGAATCATCAGCTGAACTATTTAACTGTGAAAGAGTTAAGTCTCAAAATGAAATCTAATGCAAATAAGACTGTAAAAACTTTGGGTCCCAGAACCCATGTTACATACAATCAGATCTTATAGTTACAAGGGATGTTGCATAGGTCCACTCAGTCTGAAGGGTATGTCCTGAATAGTTTAACACTGCTTCAAGGCTTCATGACTAAGAGATCAGCAAAATTCAAAAAAGACCAACCCATCAATAAAAGCAGGTAAGACTTTACATTTTTCTGTATCCCAGGTAAACTTTTACCTGCCACTCTCAAGGTAATATTTGTCAGGTGATCCCCTGGCTGCAGATGATTGTACTTCTCTATAAAATCTGAGAGAGATAAGTCAACGTGGAACTTGTGGGGATAGGGATCTTCACTGGAGCCCTTAAGCTGTTGGACTGCATGACTACGGATCTTGTAGTATTGCTGTCACCAGAAACAAACAAAATCAAATTATTTTACTAGAACCTGAAAATATGTTACAGGCTGTGAATTTAAAAGTAGCTGCCCTAATGCAGGAATACACATCTCTCTCCTTTTAACCTTTTAATTACCCATGAATAAAAAAGTCAATTGCAAGTCAGTAAGACTGATTCACAGAACATCTAATAAGCATGGGACCAGATGCTCACATTTGGATCCAAGCTCTCCTCATCAGTAGCAACATTATCCTCAGAAGTCAAGGAAGGCTTATTTGAATGCTTTTCACTTTGCTCTTTCTGCTTTGCTTCTTTTTCAGCTGTTTTTCGCTCAGCCTTTAAACGTCTCTTCAGCTCACTACAAAAGAAAAAGAAACCGGATGCAGCAAATACTCTTAATACTTCTACAGGGAAACGACTGGCAGGATTCTGCCAAAACCTAATTGTACAAATAACCCTGCCACTTCTCTTACTTTTTCCAATAGTCAATATAATTCTTAAACACGCTAAAATATTTTCTACTTTGAACTCCTTCAGTTCATCCCCTACGACACAAACACTCAGAAACGGAAAGCGAAATTAAACATAGTTTAGACTGACCTTGACGACGCGTGCCTAAGGAATTGACGGACTCCATTTTATCCATAAGAGCCTATCAGCCCTAAGCAGCGTGTAAGTGAAAGAAGGCAAACTCCCCCCTAAGTAACGTAGGGTTCCCGAAGCCACCTTCACGGTCCAGCCTATTCCCCCACGGCCCTCAGGCTCCCGTCGAGCTCCTGACCCCACCTTCCACGACTCCATAAGGAAAGAAGCGGGCCAAGCCAGACGCAAAGCACCGACCTGCTTTGGTCATGAAGCGCCTGCTGCCGTCGGAGCGCGGGCGCGGCCCTCCAGACCCAGCTGCGGAGCCGCGCAGCGCCGGAGCTCAGCATAGCGCTCCGACGGGCGCCTTGACGGAGACAACGCACCGGGTCGGCTGGACACACTTCACTTTCACCTCCCGGCCCGGCCCCACCTGATCACCCGCCCACCCTCACTTTTTGCTGAGGTGCGACTCAATCTCCGCCGCGTTGCACTCGCGCGCCGCCGCCGCCATCGTCTCCCCGCAGCTGCCACCGCCCGTGTCCTTCCGCCCTTGCACGCCTGCGCAGGCGGTGATGGCGCTGGGCGGAGCTGGCGCGGCGATGGCCGGCGGCCAGGCCGGAGCAGCGCGATCCCGATCGCTGTTCCTGTGGGATGACGGACGTCCTATGCGGTTCTACTTGCGGCCCGGCCTGGCCAAGCTGCGCCTGGCGCCCCTGGTGCTGGCGGGCGGCGGGCGGCTGTGTCGGGTGCAGGAGCCAGGGGCTGTGCTCCTGGCGCAGCCCGGCGAGGTGGCTCCCGACGGGGCCGTCTCAACCGAGTACGTGGCGGAGTGCGTGAAGCGCAACCAGCGGCTACCGCTGGAGCCCTTCCTGCTGACAGCCCGCGGCCGCTTGGCCTTCACGGAGGCGGAGGATGCGGCGCTGCTCCAGGCGGTGCGCGGCCAGGGCACGGTGCGGGTGAGCGGCCGCGCGCTGTGGATAGAGCTGGAGCGGAGCGGCCTGACGCGGCACAGCTGGCAGGCCATGCGTGACCGCTACCTGCGGCACCTGCTGCCGCGGCTCTGGGGTGAGCGGGGGCCACAGCGGCGGGGCAGGGTTGCGAGGGGGCGTGGTGGCGGCGACCGGCGTGGGTCCGGGCCCCGCTGAGGCCTGGCAGACGATCCCCGCGTGTTTCCGCAGAGCCCCCGCAGACGGAGGATCCCACGCAAATCAGGGGTCTGTTCGCGGCAGCTAACCGGGAGTTCGAAAGCACGGAGGTGAGCGACCGGGGCCAGCCTGGGGAGCAGCAGCCTCCACTGCGCGCAGTGCTCGCGGCAAGCCTTCCCCGGTGTCACAGATGGCACCATAGAAACTCACGATTAACACATGAAATGAGGTTGCACCGCGATATCCCTTCTGCTGTGGCTAAACTGTCATCTGTCCTCTATGTGGTTTGCGATAAATGGTGCCTGGCTGGTGCATTTTTTCTTCCCTGTGCAAGTTACCATGAGGAGGTTTATGTGCTGGGGGTTGTCACATTAAAAGCTGTATTGGCAAATGGAAGTCATCCTTTCACCTCAGGCAAAAAACGTTCCTGGCGTTGCATCAACATTTTTACCTTTTAAGAACTTTTGCCTTTTATGCTTAGTTTGTTCAAATTCTTCCTTATAGTTTATGGATTTCTGTGATCATGTGCAGCCTCATTAACACATAGAGCTTTGCTTCAGTCACTAACTTTTACTATGTGTAGTAATTTCTGAGGTTTTAATGCACTATAGAGTCAGAGTAAAAGGTGGTTGCAGTGGTAAAAGATTTACCAGAAAATACCATCTCTAATTGGTGATTCCACTTCTCTCCTGTTAGTCAGAAAGTGACTCTTCAGATGTTGCAGAACTTCCTACACAAGATGGATTGAGAAGGTCCCCAGGAGAAACAGCATCTGAGCTGAAAACTGGGCCAGAGGACTCTGCTTTCCCTGACATTCAGTTACAAAGGCAAGAAAGACCAAAAAGCACTTGTTCTTCCAATGTGGTGGGACAGGTGGTAAAAACTATGGAGCACTTCATGGAGAAGTTTGCTGTGGACCTGCTCACTGTTACACAGGCCTTTTTGAAAAACAGCGGTGACGTGGAAGCTACTTCATACTTTCTGCAGACAGGGCAGCGCTTGGATGGGTACCCTGTATGGAGCAGAGAGGATGATTTAGAATTGCAAAAGGATGATGAACATGTCAGAAATCAACTGATAGCCAAATTTGGAGCTGAAAATGTAGCAAAGCGGATCGTGTTTAGAGAGAGTTAAGAGGACATTACTGATCTAGTACAGTTGCATAAATGTAATAGTGATTTCAGAAACACAGTGGAAAATTTGATCAAAGTTCTGAAGTTTCAGAAATGCTTTTTTTTTTTTTTTCTTTTTTTGTATTAAAAGGCCTCTTTTGCATCTCTGCAGATCTAAGAGATGCAGCTGCTTTAATCAAAGGAATGCTTGTACCAGGCTGTATGTTCTACTTGGGAAAAGTACACCAGCTTTCAGGGCTATGAGTAATAGTTGAAGTAGGAAATGAAAGTTAAGAAGGAATGATCAGAGGTTATGTATCTATCACCTAAATTGTGTTTGAGAGAGAACACTATTGCTAGGATAAAGTCATAATCTGAAAAATTCAGTACTTTTAGCCTGAAATTGTGCTCTGGTTACTTATTTTAATACTGTTTGAAGGGAGTCCTAAAAATCTGCATTCTTTTGGTGAAATAAAATGGGCTGGCAAAGGCGAAGTTTGGTTGGGTTTTTTTTTTTTAACCTCTCTAATGAGTTAATATTTTGGGTTTTTAGCATATTGCGCTGTGGCACTCAGAAAATTAAGGTGAATTGTGAAATGGCTGATGTTAAGCCAAATTAAAATTATACTGAAAATAAAAAATGGTATAACGAGACTGCTGTTTTGGGAAACCACTGCAACACCTACTGATTATTCAAGGAGTTAACCAATGTAACCAAATAAATGCTAAAACAGCACTACACAGTGTTTCACTGGACTGAAAAAGTGAGAATTATTTGGCATAGTCGTGCTATTCAGACTTTGGACAGTTATTTGAGATTCGTGTGGAAGCCAGACAAGCACTTAACGAGGGAGTGCAAGACAACATAGCTAATACAGTAATTTTTTTTTTTTTTTTTTTACATTACGAATGTTACCAGCTTGGTTTGAATTCCAAGTTTTGCTGATGACCAGGTTCATGAACAGGAGACTTGTCACCTCCTGCAGCTGAAAGCTCCCATTCTAGCTGGGGCTGTGTACACATGCCAGCAGCACCATAGTGTTGCAGTGGTATCATTTAACAAAACTGCTCTGGAATTCAAAGTGAGAGATAGAATGCATTAAATAGCGGCAATATAAAATGGTCAGATTTCCTCTAAGTGGCACTTATTTTAAGAGTGAGTTTGTCTTATTGGAGCAATTAGTGTAAGGTGCAGTGCAAACTTCTGAGGTCACATACAGTGGTTTTGCCTTTGCAGAGCCTTATGGACACATTGTCTAATGCTGAGAATCTTTCCGTGTGTGCTTGTGCACTCAGTAGGTGTAGGAACTAAGACACAAAGACCACAGTTTACTCAAGGTTGCCCTCTTTCTTCTGTTACAAACTCCTGAAAGGCACTGCTTGTCCACAGATGCACTTGATTGTGCATGCACGTAGATCTAGGTCTCTTTTACCAGGTTAAAACCTGGAGAACCCAGAGATGACACCATATTGTATGGTTCTACTTCTGGTTCTGTCTTTTCCCATGATAAAAATCTTTGTTTTCTGTGCTTTGTCTTACCTACAACACAGTTATGCTCCTTTCAACATGCTGGAGACAGTTTGGTTTTCCATATTCCTATCAGGTTCCTCTACTACCACAAAAGGTCAGGAAGGTTCTTTTTGTGGCTCAAAGAAGTTTCTTCCTATTATTGCCTGCAGCAGCAATATTTGTGTACCTGGAAAAGTGAGCAAAGTGGCAATGCACATACAAGAACTTAGAGTTTAAGAGAATTCTACAGCCAGAAATTCTGGGTCTGCAAACTATTATCTGGAATTTTGGTATTTCCGATTTGCTTCCTCTTAGAGTTAGCCAGCATTCATCAAAACAAATTAATTTCTATGCTTTCATAACTAGAGTTACCAATGGAAAACTGATTGTATGCACCAGTTTGAAGAGCAACAGACAGGAATACCACTTTTGACTGGAGACTTCTCCATCTTACATTTCATTGGTATAAAAACAGAGGTTACTCTTTTAAACTTGTACAATGTAAACTCAATGTTTGTTTCTAAACAGACTTCTGTGATCTTTATTGCATATGCCAAAGGATGTAGTCATAGTTTTACACATCATCATCATCAGCATCTTGAGATTTTGGGGGATTTTTGTTGAATTTTCTTTTTCCTCCTCCAAAAAGTATTTTAAGTTATCTTTACTTGAATCAAGACAACTTTACATTTTCACGTAACCAGACGGGCAGCAGACTTTGCTGTTTCCAGAAAAAAAAAAATCTTACAAACTGTTGTATTGAGGAAACATACCTAAAGGACTATAATAAAGACATACTGAAATCAACAATTCTGCATTTTCTCTGATTAAGCCAAGGAAGCAGAAGTGTAAGTAATTTTCAAAACAGTACATTAGGGAAATGCATCATATATTACTTTTATGTCATTTTTTTACTGACTGGAAACACTGTGGAGGTTTTTATTCAGGTAAACACATGATACACAGAATTGATTGCATCCACTGAAAACAATTACTATTCATAATAAAACTTAAGTCACTGAAGCTGACATTGGCTAATGTAGAGATAAGTAGCAATGTACCGAAACGAATCTATCTTTGCTCAGAATCCAGCTTCTTGGCACTTACAGGAGGAAGCTCTTTACTATAACTTACTTCAGTAACAATGGGCTTTTAACTGAATATGTTAAGGTGTATTTTAAAGGGACTATAAGGAAAAACAGTGTCTCTGTGCTCCTGTGGCACAGTGCAACTCCCACTTCTCTATGTCAGCTTGCCTACCCTAAATTTGCATAAACACAGTGTAAAGGAGGATACCTTGCTTTCAGAGAACTTACTACTATGAAGCCAGTGCTGCCTGCTCAGCATGGATTTTGTCCTTCAACACAATCCCTAGTAATAAGACTATTTCCATAATACAATATCCCCTTTGCAGGGATTAGGGGTTTAGCTCTAGGAATACAGACACCCATATTCCTAAGGCAGTGAGTGTTCTGTGTTAAAGGGACTCTGCAGTTTACACATGAAAAAGGATATTCAGAAATAGGTATCTGTAGGCATTTCACTCATCCCCAAATCTGGTAGCAAGTTTTTCTCCTTGTCTTCTGGAAGACTTAAAACCAGGTGAAAACAATTCTGTTGTTCAGGTTTGAGCTATATATTCCCATTGGAGGTGGGAGAATGGCATCTCCAGTGGAGACACTGGAGAATGGCATAGTCCATTAAATTTATCGTTTTGTGCTCCAAGACAAGAAATACTCTCACCAAATATTTCAATAGGAGAACTTCCTGATCTTCTCTTGGTTTCTTCAATCCTCTCCCATTAACCTGTCTTCTCAGTTTTGGTATTTATGCCAATGAAATCTATGTCTTTACCTTGTCTTTAGGATGTCAACCTTAGCATGAATTCTTCTGCCACCCATGTGGACTGTGGGAATTCCCAGGAAAACAACTGTTCTTGGGTTTGAAAGCTAGAAAACAGAATTATTTCAGCAAAAAAATAAGTGGATTCACATAATCACAGAAATGGTTTCCCACATGAAAACCCAGGAGTTTTATTTTCAGCAATAGCTGGTTTATTCCATTTTCCCATTATACAGTAAGTGAACACAAACATTTCCCCACCTTTGCCATCAAGGCTGGATACTCAGACACATGAATGGAGCAAAAGGAAAACTGGACTTGAAAATGCAACCATTAAAAAACAAACAAACAAACAAACCCAAAACTCCAAAACAAAACAAAAAACTAACACTCACAAAACAAAAAAACCCAACACAAAATCAAACCAAAGTCCAACATCTTTCCAGAAACCAAATGTCCGGTCATCCTTGCGTCTTTTCTGGCACTACATATCCTACATGGCAGCATGTCAAGCAATGTTTTCTTTATTCATCTTCCTTTTGTATTTCCACTTCCTTGGCAGTGCAATTGCTCCATGTGGTTTCCCTAGTCTTCAGCTGTGGTCTGTGAGGGGTTTGAGCTTCTGCCATCTGGTCCTACTCCTCTGGAATTCTGTATGCTCCAACCTAAACATAATTAATTTGGAAAACAAACTTGTGTTACTTTAGCTTCTATTGTGGCTGTATCTCCAGTGTTCATGGAGAGTGACCCTGTGCTGCTGAGAGCTCTCCTGAATGTAGTCAGGATTCTTGTACCACTTGTTCTTGCATCCATGCATGCTCTTACACTTCTATGCCTGCTCCTCTGTCCTCTTTGGCTCTAGTGAACAGTTCAGCACTGCAACCTTCAGAGAGTAGATGCAGAGACCAGCTTTTCTGCCTTCAAAATTTGATAATCAGAGGAGTTCTGGGTAAACAAAAGATCCAGAGACATATTTTTCTGCTCTTCTTCAGACCGAACAAGCCGGTAGCCCAGCAAATCCATTGCATCTTTGCACACATTTTGCACTTTTTCTATTTTCTGGAAGGGAAGTGTCTTTCTCCAGGCCTGGGATACTCTCAGTGCATCTCTCGACCCAATATCAAAGGCCTGTGCTCCATGACCCTTTCCATGGGTGATGTTGTGGACCCATTTCTGAAGCTCTGGTGTGAAATGGAGTTCTGCAAACCTGTACATCTGAGCAGCCCTTGCTAGTGGGTCTCTGACAATGTCTTCATAGCGAACCAGCAGATACCGGTCTTTCAGGAAGCTTGGAGCAGCCTGACTTCCTGCCTTGTATATCTCAACATGGCTTTTGCAGATTACCTGCATTGTGTTGTAGGGCCCCATTTCTCCCTTTGTCTTCTGAGACCCCACAACAATGTTACTGTCTCGTTTCAGGTCTGCCATTGTATTCTCTCGGGACCTGAACACAGCCCGAGGATCACGTACCAAGTGAATGATTTTGAGGTTCAGGGATGGATCAGTGAGAAGGGGATAGAGAACTTTCAGGTCAAAGAACCTAACTTCCTTGATGGCAACATGGCTATAGGTTTTACAAGCTTCCTCCACCTTGCTGAATGGGTACTTGCCACAGATCGTTTTGCAGTTGCCTGCAGTGATTATGTCACTGCGACTGAATGAGTCACAGGCAGGTGGGGAGCACAAGGCTCGGCTTGTCTCCCACTGAAATAAATCAGACTTTTTCTTCTGGCTAGACATGTAAGCATCAAACACAGACATGTCACACAGAAAGACCGACCTGACTAAGTCCCGCACTGCCATGTGTAAGACTTTGGCACTGTTCTGGTACATCTTAACCCAAACATGCCATGCAGGCTCCATCAGGTAGAAGACGCTGGGGTGCTGGCTGAAGATTTGTCCAGTGAAGGAGGATCCTGACCGCCAGGAGGAGAGAATGAGGATGTGGACAGGAGAAGGTTTTTCTTCCATATGGGCATTGTTGCTGCAGGGTAGGAAGTGGATAAGAAGGAAGGACAGAACTACCAGAATCAGGAGCACCTGCACTCTTCTAGACTTCACCATGATTGCAAGGGACCTGCAGAAACAGAGGAAGTTCAGCATCACAAGGTGATGAAAAAGGCAAGATGTGGTGCATCAGGCTCCTGTGCCTCCCTCTGCAGGCACAGGATTTTGGAAAGCTGCCACACTACTAGTGACACTGTGACAACCACCGCACAAGGTGTCTTTGCAAAGGACATAAGTACTGTAGGGCTGAAGGTTTTCTGCAGCAAAACCACTATGTGTCAGTAAGCCATTCTAATATAGTCTTGGAAGATACTGAAAAACTTGTCTGCACTTTTATCAAAGTTTAAGAACTAGTTGAGTGCACTGAAGTCAGTACC